TATATAGGAGGTTATTCACTATGGAGCCAAAGGATACAGCCGTAGCTTCGGGTGATCCTTCGGTTCTCTTCGCCCGCCTCTGCCCTTTGGTTCAGTCAAACCGAAGGGCTGCTGTACGAGCTATTCACAACAGCCCGTACAGCAGCCGAAGGCGGCCGAGTGGCCCAGTTGTTATTCATTGGCTGGGACCTGCTAGAAGACTCAGCTGTCACTGCTAGCTCCGCCCAATTTTTTTATTATTATGTTTATTTCATTAAAATATATATTTTAATTGTCCTATTTATTTAAATGGTTTAATTATTTTTTCAACTCTTTTTTTTCTCCATTCATTTCACTTCTTTTCTATTCTGCTCGGTAACACCTCGGAGGTACCGAGCAGAATAGCCGATCCGAATCCACCGATAGCCGATCCGAATCCGCCGATCCGAGAATAGGGGCAAATGGCAGCGAGTGAGCTGCTGGAGCTCTGGCACAGCCAATACAGATGTTGGCTCAGCTGAGTCGAAGTACCTCTGCACTTCAGCTCAGCCGAACATGCAGAGCATGTTCGGCTGACCGAAGGCAGCTGATGTACGGCTGAAATCAGTACTGAGCCGGAGTGAATAGCCGAAGATTGTTCGGTTTTGTTCACTTTGGCTTGGTTATTCACTCGGCTGCCTTCAGTAGCTTTGTGAATAACCCTGATAATGTTTGTTTATTTGTGTAACTAATCTTCAGGCCTGAAATGTGCATTTTAACAAGTGTGAAATAAATGCAAAAACAGCTGGTAGAAGACTGGCTAAAATGTGTATATGGAAATGAAAAACACTCCAAGTAAGCATTGAATTACTTGATTTTTCTGTGCTTTCACCCACAATGTTAAGATTGGTGATAGTCTCTTTAAGGTCTTTGTTACCTTGTGGGAACACCCACAAATTGTAGCACCTCATGAAGCACTCCATATTTTGATTTTTTTTTTCAGGAAAAAATGTCCCCCATAGTTTCTTTGGTAGTGTTGGCAGCTATCACAAGTTGCCCCAGTAGCAAACATTATGGTGCTCTATTGGCTACTGCTAATGACTCTATTGCAGGGCCTGCAGCAATGTCACCATCTACCAAAAATCCGCATATTCTTCTGTTTTTGCTGTGAGGATTGTCAAGTACACATAGGGTCCTCGGGAGGCTTAGGAAGTACTTTAACGTGTTTTTTTGGTATGCAGTAAGAAAAGAGAATTTGCACGGACCTCGGCCATAAACAACATGGCCAAATATTACTGCAGTGAACAAGTTTATACTAGCATATCAGTGAGATATATGCAGCATATCTATTGTACTGTATGTCAAGAACTGTTTAAACCTGAATTTAAAAAAATCTAACATACATGACAAATAGTAATAACTTTGACCACAGATGTCATCACCTTTTCACATTGACTGGAACAGTTGATCAGTTAAAGGTAAAGCGTTTTTATATTTTTCTTTTTATATTTTCAATATTTTTTTTTATCTTTGCGACATTAAAAAGGGTTTTTTTTTCTTATCTTCTTAAAAGCAATCTGTAATCCCTGAAACATAATATACTAACTGCATTATGGATTCATAGATACATGGCTGAAGTGTGTGTTTTAGTGGTCCAGTTTAGCCACCACCCCGATTTATACTGTAAATTTACAATTTCACATAAATACCCAAATTGAATTAATCTAGATGATGATCCACTAAACCAAACCAAACCAAACCAAACTAAACTTAACTAAAGCAGCTGAAGAACTCATTAGCAAGTTGGATTATTTTGGGTATCTTGTTCTCACAGTTTAAGGGAAAACTATTCACACCCCAAGTCATTTAACTATGTTCTCATAACAGCTGATAAAGCTTTGACCTTTCTGAGGCAATATGGAAAACAATTAAATCTACTGCCAAAAAAAAAAACCTTTTTCTCAAAAAAATTCTACAGCTTACCTATTATTTATAACATAAACCTTCTGCGGTTTACTTTTTTTATTGAACAATAAAATGTTCCTGATATCTTAAAAATATTGAGTAATTAAAAATATATATTTTATGCTGTAAAATGTAGTAAACCATTGAAGTAGTACAAATCAATCATTATGTGCAGGAAATATCTGAGCAATAGCTTTGTACATCAGTTAAAAACCTTCCTTTAACAATAATGTGCAATACAAGGAAAGTCTATGGAAAATGTCCTCCTAGCTTTTATAGTAAATATTACTATATTTTCCTATCCTACTACTTCTACTGGAAGAAAGAAAGCATATACCTAACACATATCCAGGGCTAATGTGAGCAATTATGTTGCGCTTGGTAGTGAGCAATATACCTAACACATATCCAGAGCTGTCCCTACACTAATCGTTGCTGGTGAAGGGGGGTGCTATCAGCTAGTGGTCATTCCGATGGGGTGCTGAGGAGTTGGGAAGGTGGTGCTATCAGCTAATGGTTTTTCCAGGGGGTAGGGGGGGGTGTGATGTCAGTGGCTCTGATGTTACTGGTTGCCAGGAGCTTGGTGGGATGCCAGCCAGAGAGTTCTGTTCAACTGGTGATGTCTATGAGCTGGGCGGAAAGCCAGATGGAACGTCACACCTTGCTAAGAGCTCTTAGAAACCTGGGATGCTGTGGCTGCCCCCTAATGAGATGCCACCTGAGCCAACATCAAGAAGCCAACGGCTATTTACAGAAACATAGAAAATTTCCCTGAATCAGACTGAACGTTGAATGGATGTAACTTCGCTGGGCAACAATCAAAATGACCCAAATCAGCCTCTATGTATGTAATGAAATTAAAAGGTGAAGCAGATTTAAAAAAAATGGGCATTTATGTCTGAGCCAATCATAGAGTTTACTGATAAAATGCATATGATCTACAACGATACAACAACAATGACATTTCCCTGTTAAGATGCTACATGTTGTGTATTTTCACACACACTAGTACCTTTATTTACAACTTGGTGGAAAATTGCATCGTAGCAACTACATGAACATCAACATACTAGTCGCAAATATTCCCCCTATTATGCAACCAATTATGCTTATCATTCAGTGGTCAGTTTTTCAGGAGCACCTAACATAATCAAACTCTAAAAGGGTAGAGGCTCAGTCAAAAATTTTGCATGAATAGGATTTACTTTGCTGCAAGGTTTAATGGATTAAAAGCATGACTTAAATGTCCCAGTGTTATTTATTACTGTTATTTATATAGCACTGACAATTTACGTAGCACTTTACATACTGCACATTCACATTAGTCCCTGTCCTCAAGGAGCTTACACTCTAAGGTCCCTATTGCACATGTATACAGGGCCAATTTAGACAGGAGAGCCAATTAACCTACCAGCATGTCTTTGGAGTGTGGGGGGCACCGGAGTACCCTGGAGAAAACATGCAAACATCTTGCAGATAGTGTCCTGACCAGGATTTGAACCAGGGGCACTTAGTGCTGCAAGGCAGAAGTACTAAACTCTACGGTCTGTTTGACCCACCAAAGGATTTGTATTTTTTGTCATTCAGTCCAGAGATTTACACAGCTCTTCCACACAGGGCAGCCCTGTCTAGCAGAGGAAGGGTCTGATCTTTCTTTGCTGCAGTATCACTTTCACTTACAGGTCCCCTCCTAAACCTGTGAAAGACAGTGACATGAGAAGCAGTAGACTGGTAAGCTTATATCTCTGTCACTCTGATTTCTCCTCTTATCAGCATGCTCCTTTCACTGCAGTTCAAATGACTGGCTCCTTGTGCTGCTTGTTACCACTACATCTGTCTGCTTTGATGTACATACTGCAAAGTAGACTGCAAGAGTCTATATCAAGTCAAATTCACTTTCACAGCTTGAATTTTAGTAACACACTTCCTGTCGAAAGTGACAACGCTCACTCACTGTACTTTATTTGCAGTGTTGTCACCCTTGGACAGGAAGTATGTTACAGGCAGGATCACCAGATAAAAAAGGAATACAAGGCTGAAAAGAAGTAAAATGAATGCAGCCACCACATAGAAGAGCTGGTAAGCTGCAAATTATACATTGTTCTTGTGGGTTTAGATACATCTCAAATAACACTACTAAACAGAACTCCAGGTAGAAGATCCTAGTATGACAACGCTCACTCACTGTACTGCATTAGTAGCATTGTCTCCCTAGGGCAGAAACTATGACAGAACTACTCCCCATTCCAGAACATGGGGATGTTCAGAAGTCCACAGTGATGATATCAATATTTCAGATTTCAGTGCAGCATTAGCAGCTCGCTACAGGAAGTTAAAAACTTAATGGATTTCTAACAGTATTAACAGGTATTTTTTCCTTAATAAACAAATATAAAAAAACAAACACTTTTAATGGTATATTTAAAGGCCCAAAGGGGAAGAAAAAAAAAGTTTATTTGTATTGTTACAGTTTATATACACTTTATGGTTTGTACAATACATCAGTTGAGTCGCCTGTAATAGTAAAAAGAATGGGTAAATATGTAAGGTATCATTATACAGGACAAAACACAAGTGTAAACATGTCTAGCACTGATCTTGTAGGCAAACTGATTATTTCAGAACTTGTTTCATCTCAGAAAATGTATTATTAACAGAGGTGGTGATAACTCCATTCCCCTTTATCAGCTGACCTGCTCTATCATAAAGAAAGGAGCTCTAGTATACATTATCTATTGAACGCTTCATATTGCTGTATTACTAGTTTAATTACCTTGACGAGGATAAAGACAAAGTATGAGAAGAGCAAATAAATAATAGGAAGAATATTTCTTAATATGCATTCCCCTTGCAAGTCACCTATTTGATACAACTGTCCCTATATATCTGGCACAGAAATAGTACTATAACTGCAGGTTTTCTTTTATGACGGCTTCTAATTTCACATTCTGATTAGTAGGCAACTACTTCTACAGAAAACATTTGGCCCAGGCCTGGCATAATTACTTTTAGTATGAGCATTTCTTATTCCAAGTCTATATGTGTCCTAAAATCACAACTTCTCACATAAGGTCAGTTTTAATACATTTTTCATTCCATTTTATATATTAAATATATATGAAATGTGCCTGGATTAGTCTAGTAATAGATGTAAATCAAAGTATATTAAAGAGGTAGAAAATAAAATAATGATCAACAATAGCCAAAAGCTCTCATCTTCACAGCTTAATTATTAATATCAATTTTCAGTTTGGTCGCATGTCATATGTCGTAAGAATAAAAATAATAACAATAACTCACCACTTCCAGTATATATAAGCTGCATATTCTCAAATTCCAGACAGGTGTAAGTTGGGTCTAAGACATCACTATAGTTGGCCATTTCCATGTCCATTACGGAATTAGAATGTTTCATTGCCAGTTAGGACACCCAGAGACCTCAAGTAATACCCTCTACTTTGTTCTCTTAGTAATCTTTAAAAGACATTTCTCTGAAATGAATTCTGTGCTGAAGGTGGAGCCTTGAAAATGCTTCTGCGTGCTACTTTCTACCTTTACCTCCTTTTTTTATGGTACTTTGAGGCAATTCTTCTGATAGTCTTGGAATGCTCAGCGAATATTCTTATCATAATGTTGTTTGTCATTTTTTTTTTTCTTAGTAGGCAAGCTTAAAGGATACCCTGTAATGATATTTCACCTAATAAAGTTGTACTTATCTCAATTTTATCATTAACGTTGTAAAGATCAACATGTTTACACAAAAGCTTTGTAAATCCACAAAGTCTCACATATAGATAGGCTTCATCATCGCAGAAATCAACACTGAAGTTCTAAAATTAGGAAAAAGATATTTATTTTTAAACTTTTTAATGTCGACCTGTTAGATTTATGTAGTGAAGGCAGACTTATTTCAAAATATAGTGTATTTTAAATGAGTACAGGTTTACCTGAAAATCATTGTTTCTTGCAACTACCACATTTTGGCCAGCTGTATAGCAAACAAGTAATCAGCAGGTATGACTGTCACCGTTTTTAATGCACAGAACTCTTATTGTAAAATATTGTCTGCACTTAAATAAAAAGGAAAAATAATCAATGATTATATTGATGCAATAATACATACTAAAGGATACCTGCATGTCTAACATCAAAACTACTACATACTATGTAGAAAAGGCATCTATGAAAGAAGAAAGAATGATGGAGAAGTAGAGCTGGTGACCATGATCATTGGCTACATATCATGGCAGTCTGGGAACTCATTATGCACTTTGCTTTCAGAGTGTGCAGAGCATTTGTACTATTGCATCTATTTGTACTTTTTCTTTGGTAAGGAAGGGAGGGAATCCTGTGCTTTAACTTATAGGTACACATCCTTTAAAAAAATGCCATCCTCTGTCTAAACCAGCGGTCGCCAACCTGTGGTCCACGAGAAAATTTTGGTAGTCCCCGGGCCCCCCTGATGCCGTGCAGGCTTGCCCGTCATTGAAGCGGCACAGCGGCTGCCTCTCACTGACTCAAGCAGCGGCTGTCACAAGGAATGCGCGGCTCTCAGTACAGTGCGGGCTCTGCAGGAAGCGGGGCATCTCGTCAGTACCTAGACTGAGCAGGCTGCGGGATATAGAAAAATAATATGAAAATATATATATATGTATATATATATTTTTTTATTCATATTAGTGGTCCGCGGGATTTAAAATTATGAATTTAGTGGCCCATGAGATCTGAAAGGTTGGCGACCGCTGGTCTAAACCATATCTACAATCCTACTGAAGATGACAAAAGCAGGAGATGAACATCTAGTGCCATATTATATCTTTTGAAATAGCGTATAATAATAGAATGATAAAATATCACATTCACAGTAGCATAAGGAACACAGCTCAATAAATCAATTGAATAGGTATTTCCATTGCATTTTACCACTCCTTGTAAAATCCCTGAAGAAACCAAGTATAGGGAAATGCACTGTGTGCTGTCATGTATGTAATGTCGGAGCCTACCCTCTCCCCTTTCAGCTCCTCTATATTTGTCCATAGCCATAATAAGCATGCTTATGGGCCAGTATGGAGGCACAGAAGGGGATCGTGTTTGGGTTTTATCTCTTTACCATGATAGCTGGTTGAATCTTGCAAAATAAGGGAAATCTGAGTTTTGATCCCCCATTGTAAATGGGGCTAGTGTAATTAAGAAAATATCTGTCCAAGGCTCAATGCAGACAGTATATTTTCATACATAACAATGACAGTTGCATGGCCATGAGTCAACTACCTGCCACAACTAATGCTGCTGAGTTGTGAGAATTCTTACTTGTTTCGCGCGCACTAAAAAGATAGAAAAGAAAACATAGGAACATTGTTTGTATTGGAATTTTCAAGTATCCTGGAAAATGTCTTTGATCACCGCCTGGGCCAGGAATAGAGCTAATATAAAAAAGCCAAAAGGACATATGGGCAGGCTCACTAGGACCAATGGGCCCAATAAAAGATGTTGAAATCATACAGCTTAGATTTTGTTACTGTTCTAAAGATGCTACTTCAGCTTCTTGGTGAGTGGCTGAATTAATAAACATCACAGATTACCCACAGCATAGACCAGCGAACAAGGGGGAAAAAAAACACAGCCTGGCAGAAAAACTCACAGAGAAACCAACATTCTACAAACATATTAAATTCTGAGCACTTGCAGATGGCAACTTTGGAAATGTAGCTAACTGTCTCCTTTGGAATCAATATCCAGGGTTCAGGAAAGTTGCACTTTCTCAGACTAATCTAGGTTTTTTGGTACTTTAAGACGTAAAGAGATCCACTATTATAAAGGAACTGCTAGCTGATTAGCTGAGGGTATCTTAGGTAAAGCCACAAAATGTGCCATTTTTCTGTAGCAATACACAGTAAACCAAATGGCTGTGTAACCGAGAAAATGAGGGAGGTTGAAAATAAAAACCAAGGGGAAGTGTGTCCACAGACAATTGGGAAAAGGAAGTGACATGAGCAAGTGGTTCTCAAGGAATTTAGACCTGGCACAAGTTTCAAAAGGTTGAATGTACAGGTACATCTTTTCTTAGTGAGGGCCATCCTACGTCACATTCTCCAGTCCACAGAAAAATTATCTGGGAGATGGAGCTTGAGTTCTGGTTCCACCTGTGATCACTGTGGGACCTGTTCATGGTATGATACCACATGGTGGACAGGTCTTAAACCCAAAGGGTCAATTCTTCAAGTTCACAAGCAAATAGTTGTGTAGGAGCAGGATTTATTTGCTGACAGCGTGACTTATAATAATATGAGGCTCAGATGCAGATGCATCAAACAGAGTAAATGGCAAGCTAATGTAACTTCACCTATACCAGCCACCTTCCCTTAAAGCAAGTCGACCTACAGCAATGCAGAATACCACCATCTATAGAGGACTACAAATCCCAGCAATGCATTATACTGCAATGCAGAATACCACCATCCATAGAGGACTACAAATCCTAGCAATACATTATACAGCACTTCATAATAATAATATAACGTTTCATACACTGTGCTCTGGGGTGGCAGCCTGAGTGCAGAAGTCACTAATGTAATGCAGAGGTCATAGGTCGGTAGTGTAACGCAGAGTGCAGAGCTCAGCAGTGTAATGCACAATGCAGAGGTCAGCGGTCTAATGCACAGTGCAGAGATCAGCAGTGAAACACAAAGTGCAGAGGTCAGCTGTGTATTGCAGAGTAAAGAGGTCTGTGGTTTAAAGCAGAGTGCAGAGGTCAGGGGTGTAACGCAGTGTGCAGAGGTCAGGGTGTGATGCAGAGTGCAGATGTCAGTGGTGTAACGCAGAGTGCAGGAGTCAGCGGTGTAACGCAGAGTGCAGAGGTCAGTGGTGTAACGTAGAGTGAAGACTTTAGCGGTGTAAAGCAAAGTGCAGCGGTCAGCAATAACGCAGAGGTATAACGCGGAAAGAACAAAGACTTACAGTGCACACAGTTGATCTAATTCAGGTGCACTGCCCTCATGTCCTCCTCCTCTCCGGTGGTGGTGGGGTTGGGGGAGCAGTGATGTTTCCTGCATGTACGAAGGTGAAGTCCCCAGCAGCCTCCTTGTTACCTCACTTTAGGTCCCACACTCCAGAAATATACAGCTGGCCCATGGTAGTTCTGCAGTCTCCCTCCTAGCCTATAGCAGCTGAAGTGGATGGAGGGAGGTGCAGGTCCAAAGAGGAGCCCGATCAGTATAGTGGGCACTTACAAAGGCAGCAGAACCGCTTCTTCTCCCCCTCAGCTGCTGCAGCTACAGAGTGGACGAGAGGGGAAAACTGTGTGAGCAATTGCCGCTGCACCGGTGCCTTCTTTTTTTAAGTAGTTTCCCCCTGGGTCCGCCACTGGACTTGCCAGTGGTTCCCCTCCTGATGTAGCACCCAGGGCACGCCCCCCCCCCAGTTTCGTAAACACTGCTTATATGACAGGGCAATTCTACAACAGGGCTTATTTAAGTGTCTGCTGAAGCTTCACAGACCCTAAACAAAGTACTGTTTATTCAACCTGATCTGCTTGATTCAACCTGATTTGTCTTGAGTTGATTGATTTAGTGGGGATTATATGAAATGTGCCAGTTCTCTGCCTGGCCACTACAAACATAAGATTTTAATCTCACTGTTTTTATTATCGACTTGCACATTTTTGAGAAATGAAGGTGTCACTGTTTTTGGTACAAATTGCCCAATCGTCAAACCTCATTATTATCACACTTGAGGAGCACACTAGCCAGGAGGTGTAATATGAAAGCAGGTCGGGGCAGGAGGCAGACAGTAGGTGAAGTTCATGAACACAGAAAAGGCCAGTAACAGGGATAAAGAAATAGATCTGGGGGCAGAAACGCCATCACAAGCACAGAGGCCAAGGTTGATGAGTTTTAAATATGGCGCCTCCTGCTCCAAGGACAAATCCTAGAACTCGGGGGCATTTCATTGCCCAGCAACTGAAAAGTGACTAGGCACTGAGAGGAGCTGAGCGACCTGCACTGTGTGCCATTGCCCAGCAATTGAAACACAACCTTGCATGAAAGACCTCAGCCCTGCAGAGAACCAGAAGAAGACAACAGGGGCCATCAGCAGATGAGTTAGCATCCATGCCACTTTACAGCAAGCTATCATCCGTGAACTACACATTCTCTCCTCCCTATGTAATGGAGATGGGGAGAAGGGAATGTGTTTGTAGTCCAAATGAAGAGAGCTGCCTAGAGTGGCAATGCTGCTTCTTTATTAAATATAGTAGGGTGAGTGAGTGTTGTCACCCTATGATAGGAATTGTGTTGTTGGCAACAGGTGACAATAACCTTTAACAAGGAGACTGATGCAGCTACCACATCTAAGGAATGGTAAACTGCTATATATTTAATTTTTGGTATTGTATTTATATATGATTTAACATGGCAT